ATAGCGGTATTGAAATTCCATTTTCATCCGAACCATCATGTTCCCTAATACGATTACTACGATGTTGGAGCTAGCCAAGTTTCTCACTATCCGGGAGAGACGGCGATTCAATCGATTTCAACCAGTGGGAATTTATTCCTAACACAAACCCAGTCTACCAAACACGATAGCCTTAGGTCACCTTTGGTACAACTCGTACACATTTCGTGGGTCCGTATCACACCGCACAATCTGGAACACCAGATGCCGGGATGCTCAAAGCAAGCCTCGCCCTTGGGCTCGATCGATCGTTCCCGGAAGGCGCGCTGTGAACGATTCCCGCCGAGTTGAATTACTCCGCTTCAGCGGTCGGAACGAATTATCCGGCCAGCTAAGTGAGAGGCATGCGTTCAATCTTGTCGGAAGTTCCAACAACAATGACGGTCCTTGATCGACACAGACGGGATAGATCCACACCCAAGACCTCCATGCCTTGTTGCTTTTCTATCGACATCCCGCCTGGGTCTCCATTTACATTAACCATGGTTCTTTCCACGATAGCAATGATAACCAACCGTGCTCGGTATCCACCTATATCTCGCGGTGACAGAAATCACCCGACTTCTACCGGTCTAAGCATGGCTAAGCATATATTCGATCCTGGACCTATACCCTGCGTTAAAGGGGTAATATCCGGACAAGGAATGTACATGCATCAAGTGGTTTCATTCAACTCTTATAACCTAATGCAGCAATCATAAGTACTTAAGTAAACATTGATAAATTATCGGGAGACTTATAATGCTCCGGGCTTGCCTCGCAGAGAAAGAAGAAGTAGGGCGATGGTCGACACTCGGAAGCTCTTCGAGGTTCTGCTCCACGTCTTCGGGAGGCTGCGGCTTTATGGATCCTCCTGCGGGTTCCTTCCTCTCGCTTCTTCGAATTCCAAAGAACGTGATCTCTTCCTCCCGATCCTAGATGCATGAGTATGGTATAAGTATTACGAATGCATATATGTTAACAAGTGCATCACGTTGTTTGAGTAGGTGCATATCTCTTCTCGATTATTACTTAACTACTTCTATAATGCATCGACTATGCCACAAACAGTAGCTACTTGTTTCACTCATAACTGGAGTTCTACAAATCCAAATCCAGTGATCCTGGACTTTCTGGAAAGCTTATCAAATTCTCTACAACTTTGCTATTAACCATTTTTATAGTACACCTCAGTTTCAACATGCAACTCATCACACTCTAGAATCCGTCCAGAAATGATTTAACATGCAATATAAAGTAAGAATACTTCTACTTCAGGTAATCATTCAAAATTTGACAACCTAGAACCTACCAATAGTTTAAGCATACCAAATACAGTTAAGATGATATAATGGTGAAGCCCAAACTATTTATTAAATTGCCTTTATTATTTTATTTAGATATCTAGGTTAAATAATAAATATATATCAGATGTGCTTAATAAATTCTCAAAAATTTACAGAGCCTTACTAATGCTATCAAAGGACTGCTATAAAAATTTCAGGTCATTTTACTAAGTAGAACATTCTATACAAAAATGACAAGGCAGCAAGGCTTGAAATAGCATAAATGGAAAATCCTATTGAAAAGTGTCAAGCAACAGATTTCATATTTTTCTTAGCATTCATATGGTACTAGGATTACCTCCAACAAATTTCATGAATTTTGGACTCATACTTAATTTATGAAAATTCATGCAAGGATTAACTAGTCATAAAAGAAAAATCTATAACTTTAAATCTACCCATGCACTGGTCCTCAAATTTTTACCAGGGCTCACATATGCTAAGATTAGTTCACCACAAAAATTTCATAATTTTTGGAGCACAGGAACTCTAGATATAAAATAAACAAATTTGAATGTATTCAAAAGCACATTTCAAATCCCTATTTAAATCTCCAGAAATTTCTACTGTTGAAACCAAGAATATATTTTTCTTAAATACTACACTTCCTAAGGAACACAACCATATTTATTTCACAATTTTAGGAGCTCCTAAACTGATGATACAAAATTCAAAAACAAATCAAAAAGCTGGAACATTTGAACTAGCCTACAACACACAGTCATCCGACGGTGGGACCCGCTGGTCGGGGACCCCACATGTCGATGAAACGGAACAGGGCAGCGGCGCTCTGCAGCTGGTGTCTTTGCGCTGCGAGCTTCGCCGACGGCGAGGTTGCCGCGGTGACATCTACACCGTGTGTTCTACTCGACATTGCGCACACAACCATCTACTTGGTGGGATGGCTCGTCGGTGCTAACAGCAATGCGCGGCGCTCATGGCGGAGCGGTGGTGCAGATTTGACGGCGTTACGCCGGTGGAGGCCACGGCGAGGTCAAGTGACGCACTCTCAGAGACTACGGAGACTCTCACGACGATGGCTACGCGACCAAAGACGGCTAGAGAGCTGCGCCGACGAAGCAAGCGCCACACGGCGGCCATGGCGGCGAGCTCCGGCGAGGGCAAACCCGTGACGGCGCCGCGCTGAACGTGGCTTACCAAAGGCGAAATCATGGGCGCCGCAAGGAGGAAACGGTGGAGAAGGTGGAGACAGAGCTACGAGCACGATCGATTGGCGAATGGAACGGCGGTGGCGCCGGTGATCTCGGCCGAGCAACTGCGACAACAATGGCGTGGCGGGTGCTTTCGGAGGCTGCTACCAAGGTGAAGAAAAGCGAAGCGAAGCAAAAAAAATGGAGCGCGGATGGTTGCGCGCGGCGCCGGCGTGTTGAAGGCGCTGCTTGGCCGGCTTTGGCCACTACGGGCGAGAGCGCACATGACACAACCACGCGCCACGCGCGCGGCGACCACGGCTGAACGGTCGGCCATCGAACGCAGCGATTCGGTTTGTCATTGACCCGATAGGAGCAACGACGACAATGGGTTTTCGTGATGATTTATCTTACAATTGCGTGATTTAATTAGCGCTTAGTTTACTAAACCAACTTTGTAGACCTAAGTACCGGTTACAAATGTTGTTCAACGCACTTGTTCTAAATCGCAACAAACCGAGAAAAATCGATCCAAAGTCGGGTGGACAAAGACCAGCCGAGTATGACTTAGAACAAAAACGGCTAAGTGTTGAAAACAAGATTCGATGATTTTGAAATCCAAATTCAAGCAGGTTAGGAGCTGAATCAGTCAAAGGCCCAAAAATCAAAGTTGTTCCTTATGTCAAACACTACAACATTGCTTTAGTGAACTCCTCCATACAAGGTCTCTAACACCTAGTTCAACTTTAGTCAAACACGTCACTTTGAAATCATGATACATACACAAACCATGGCTAAATGACTAAACTAGCCTTAGCACTAAATACCAAAGTTGTTCCTAATGATATCCTAAGCATGTTTAAACAATTTGCAAGGTCATTTAAGCATTTCATGTAGTAGTCACTCATATAGCTATCCATGTCAACACATGAAATATCACTTAAGTGCTTGATCATGAAATGTGGCCTTCATGAACAAGGTTCCTTTTGTTCACCTAAGTGTAGCTAAGGTGTTTTAGTGACTAGCACTACCCACTTGCATTCATTTGCACATGATCATATGCATATGTTCCAAGAAACACGGAATAACAAGCAATGTTTCATATGTTTCGATCAAATGTTTCAATTGTAAATGATGGTTTATGAATGCTTGATGCTCATGCTCATGTTATGCAAGTCAAGTTATGCAAGGCTAACACCCGAGGTGTTACATCCTCGTCTTCGTCCTCCTCCTCCTTCGGGTCCTCCTTCTCGGAGCTCCACAGAGGACTATAATCAGACATCCCGTCATCGGAGGAGATGTTCTCCTTGGAGGAGTGGTGGGAAGGCAATTCGTCCTTACTGGACGATGGGCTGCTCGTAAATTTGATGGGGTTGTTGACATTTTCTTTGTAGATTGGAAGAGAAGGGGATGATGGATGAAGAAGAGGGGTCGTTTCACAGGGCACCGGGCATAAAGTATATGTAGAGCAGTGGGTACGCGGCTCTTAGGCTTTAGGCGGCGGAAGTAATGATGATTTGACGGCCTTGGAAGTTGAGGCAATTCAACACTCATGCTGAATTTATCGCCGGTTAACCAAACGCTACTTTAGGGCCAGCGGGCAAAATGCGTATCCTAGTTGGCCCGGCTTTTCATGCGGCGGAGAAAATGCAACTCTAATACCACTGCCGCATCTGTCGTTAACCCGTCGGTGGTAGAAGTCTGAACTGCCGGTTTTAGTCATAGGAGGCTTTGCTATCGTTTCAACCGACGCTGCAAGTATTACACCGTCGCTTCTATCGCAACGACAGTGAAAGTGGCGACAGTGATAAATTAATCTGTAGGTAGTGAGAACGTTCGCGTCAGCACTGCCATGTTAGCTTAGTGAGGTGAAATTTGACGTGGCTGACACCAAGGAGCGCCAGCATTGTTTTTTCCCCGAAATTTAGGTCGGGCTCATTCAGCCCATTATTCATTTGTATTGTGCTCGGCCCATTATTAATTTTGTATTGTGCTCGGCCCATTATTCACATGGCCCTGTTGCTGATCATTAAATTTGCTCGTGAGGCCCATAATCTATTGGGCCTTTTATGTTGGGCTGGCACAACTAAATACAAAGAAACAGGCAGCAGCCCACAAAATCATTCTAGACCAAATCATTAGAAATACAAATACATCCACAAATTCAAATCTCCAGAATATTACAACATACATATATAGATATAAAGGTGCCAATAGCACAGCATATTATCTATAAAATGCACACCAGTAGCAACAGAAGCATCACCACAGAATGCATTATGTTTACAGAACAGTCACTCATCAAACCAAAATAACTTCCTAGTTCCCACTCCAGGATACCAAACACCATCAAAAGAAGCATCACCATAGGAGTGCACCAGTCTTACACAGTTCCCCATTCCATAATGCAACCACCATCAAAAGAAGCAACCACACCACACACACAACCACCCCATCAACCAGTCTTACCAGCTAGTTCACCATATCACAGGAATGCTCCCGCTGTACTTTTGAGAATTTTGTCAGCTAATATCCTGTACAGCTGCTCCGACGGGTGAGCTGAATCGAAGAATACGTACTTATCCACGTCCTGGCACGTCAGGGGTTCATCTAAGCCACAAAGGACAGCAGTCTCGATGAGTCCTGTGCCACAGCAACCTTGCGCAACGTTCTCGAATCCTGGTCATGGTAAACAAAACCCGCCAGCGTGAATATTTCACAGAATATAATGTGCTCAAGTCATTCATCATGTTACCCTTGTGAGATGAGAACGGTCTTCTCGCATCATATCATGGCAAGTGGTAACAAGTTGTTCACTCTCTAAGGATCTACTTCATTCCATTAACAGCTAATTATCAGCTAGCTAGCTAATAGCACACAATTAATGTTACCTAGCTATCTATTAGCTAACTACTACTACTAGATATGATGTTTTTGATCAATTAGTAGGTGGTTGAAGTGTTGTTAATTTTATCAAAGTATCCCTACTTTTTATTATTTTTGTCACCTAATAGATACTCCCTCTGTTTTAAATTATGAAATATTTTGACTTTTCTATATTAAAAAAGCTAAAATATCTTATATTTAGAACGGATGGAGTAGTTGCTACTCCCTCTGTCACAAATTATAAGTTATTTAAACTTTCTTGAGAGTCAAAATATTTCAAGTTTGACCAAAATTATAGAGAGAATTACAAAGGTTTATGACATCAAATAAGTATATTACCAAAGTATAATTAATAAAGAATCTAATGTTACTAATTTGGTATCATAAATGTTTATATTTTATTATATAAATTTTGTCAAATTGAAAATACTTTGACTCTCAAAAAAATTGAAATGACTTATAATTTGAGACGGAGAAAGTAGTAATACTTATTTACCAATTGGTAGGAGGGCATTTCAATCAAATGTCTATTAATTATGTGCTTTTAGATGGGTTCAATGAAATAGTTTAGCTGGGTGTGCAGCTAACAGTTAGGCAGTTGGTCAATTAGCTAGATCTATTTAAAATCACCTTTGTATTTTTAAGGTCCCTGGACTAAACTTTAGTCCTACCCTGTTTAGATGGAGGGACTAATAGCCATTAAAGCTACTGTACAAAGATCAAAATGTCCCTAATGCACACAATCTCCAACTCCTCTTTTGCCTCCTCCACCGCGCCGCAGCCTCCACTGGCCTCCTCGCACCGCCCGCTGCCGGAGCGGGAGAGGAGGGTGGGGGAGCGCTGTCACACCTCAAAATTTCTGATTTTGGGTTATGCATAGAAAACACTAAATAAAATAAATTATTTTAATATTTGGATAAAATTTATCAAGTTTAGTTTGAACTAACGCAAATTTAGTTATAGGAAAAATATGAATTTTTAAAGTTTTCTAATTTTGACAGGCGTTTGGATGATGTGATATTTGCTTGTTGCTTCTTTGTGTGTCGTGAGTGAGTAAAGTTTTCAAAACGCGTTTAGTAAGTTGTTTATCTGTCCCTGGCTCGTCTCTATCTTTTCCTATAATCAAATTCTTTCTTTCTCGATCCAAATAATTTCATTCGAAGTTTCTCAAGATCCTCTTCTTCTGCTCCAAATCATTCCTTTGAGTTCATCATCCATCTACATATCTCTAAAAACTTTCCGGAAATTATTTCAGCTTTTTCTTAAACCTTTTCTCCCTTTTCTGTGACCATAATTTAATTTTTAGATACTCTAAATTATCTTATCATGGGCTCCAAATACTTATTTGGGTTCCTCATGTTTCATAATGTCTCTGAGAATTTTTCCTGAATTTTCAGAGTTTTCAGAGTATTTTTCACGTCTTAAATAATAATTCTAGACTTTTCTAAAATTATTTTATCCACGAAATTAATTAATTCCAAAAATAATAAATCTCTCATTTTTCCCACGCTCAAATCCCATGTGCAATAATCCTAATAAATCCTAAAGACCCATGCATTTATTTACTAATGAGCTTTAATAATTATTTAGGACCATTAGTAAATGTGGATGGTGTAACATCAATTAGTACCATATTGCTAGTTGATGTAAATGTAGGGAATTTTTCTTCCAATAAATATGTATCAACCCCTTGGGCAAAGCACACCAAAATTACCGTAAGAGGAGCCCCTCTCATGTAGTAAATTAGATTTTCTCCTCCTCTCGCCGTCGCCGCCGCAGGTGCCCAGCTAAGCGCCTTCGTCACCGGCGAAGTTCAACGGCTGGTCTCCGACGCTTGTCCTGCCATAACTTGAGGTTTTCCTGCAAAGATGTGTTCACCTAAAGGCCTTTTGATCCCCGCCTCCGATCCGTTGCCACTGGAACACGTCCACGTGAGGGACATGCTTGCCGCTGCCTTCTTTTGGTCTGGCCGAGAGCGCCACCCCGTCGGCCATCATCGCGTGAAGCATCGGCCACTGATCACCATTTGCATGACTGCCATCGCCGATCTGTCGTTGGAGGAGCCCGCTTGTGAAACCCGATCTCGCCGTTCTCAGCTTCAACGCGACATCGTTGTTTCTCGTCTGACGTCGATGCTCAGTGAGAACAATCGGCCATGAAGGAGTAAGCCATGCTGGCCGCTGGTCATCCTCGACGTTCCTTATTCATGCATAAAGAGTCATTTACTAGCAACCTATCTTCATCAATCGTAAGGTCAGTGCGAAGCACCCTGATGCTTAGAGGGCCAGGTCTCTTTAATTCCTTTGCTATATTGCTTTATCAGCTAAATATAATACTCTGCTGACGTCACCCCTTCATCATACGCGTGCAATATTTTGGCTTTCTTTTTGGACAGCTAGAATTTCCTTTTCCGGTATATTCATCACGTGCACAGGACCTTGTCTCACCTTGCATGTAATTAGCAAACCTCCTGAGTAGTTAATAACGTTTCAGCTTTTGCATCTTAAATATTCCACCGTTTTATCATCCTAACTCTAACTAGGTTCGTTCAAATTGCGTTAGTTTTGTATTGTCGTGCTTTAGGCAGTAGTGCAAACGTGTTTTATGTCACATGTTTTTTCATATATAGCTAAATATTAAATTGATTAGTATATATGCACACTAGTTTTGAATTAAAAGCAATATAGGTGCTTAACTTTGATAATTTATACCTAAAAGGTAATATGATTAATTGTTAACTTAAAAATGTTTCTAGAATATAATTTGATTAGATGAACAAGATACATATGTGATAAGTACAAGTAGATGCTCTCACATGTTTATTTCCTTTGCGAAGATAAAATTTAATTTGTTTAATAAATTATGTGATAACATTTAAAACATGATTAGCTTTAACTCGACTTTTAAAACTAAATATGTTGTTATTAATCTGAATTAGTTTTTCTTAGCTAACATAAAACAAGCTCGTAGTTGTTTCTTTTATAATATAAACCTTTTGACACGTTGTTTTCAAGCCTTTTGCCTATTGGTGTATTGTTCTTAGTCTACGTTGTTTGCTTGTATGTTTGCTCAAGTTGCTTGGTGTATGCTATGGGTAGAAAGAGAATCGTACGTGAGCGCTGGAGACTAGAAGTTGCAGAATAGAAGACCAAAGGATCTTTTGAGGAGTTGGCTATATTGACTAAAAAGCAAGTTCAAGGCAAGTATAGCATGTGATCTTCCTTATTGTCCTATACACCTTTAATCATTCAATTTCATACTGCATGTGTCTACCTTGACTACCACTAAGGATTTCCTAGTACCTTGTACCTTGTGCCATACCTATAGGGTATTGCATTGGGTAGTATGATGCTAGTACTCAACTACAACCATGATCTTGTAACTTGACTAATGTCATATGCAATAAACACTAAAAGATGCTTTTTAGCAACATGGAACAAGAGGGCTAGAGCATTGGGCTGTTTTTATGGTGCTTTAGATTCCTCTCCCTAAGGATTTATCTGTAAATGATTATCCGAGACTTACATTACAACCATGAGGACTACATGGCTCTGGTCTTAGTCTAGTACCTTGCTCTTTCTAGTTTGTAGCAGTTTACCGAAAGGGCAAGAGGGGCATACCAGGCTAGGTATCTGCCTCATCCCCAGGGTGTGTACTATGCTGCGTGTATAAGTGCCACTTCTGGAGATGACTCCATAACACTTGGGAGATAGAATCCTTAGCGGCTGCTCCTTATTAGAACGACTGGGGAAAACTTCGTAGTGTACCCTGCCTGCTCATCTTGGAAGTGTTTTAGGAGTTGCAAACCCGGGCATATGGGTATCATGACTTATGGTGAAAGTGTACAACCTCTACAGAGTGTAAAACTAGTATATCAGTCGTGCTCACGGTCACGAGCGGTCTTGGAACTCTTACGGAATAGATGATGAACACTAATGATACGGTTAATTGTTTATGCTATTCATTATTCATGTTTACCTGATCATGTGTTTATGGGCTTGTGATAAACTTATGTCACCCAATTGCTAAAAGATGACTCATTAAAAGCTAATCACAGTTAAACCAGTGTCAGCCTTTTTAGCCTCATGAACCCCATGTTATATTTATTGAGTACGACATGTACTTACGCTTGCTTTACTTTTTAAATCTTTGGAAAAATCCCGGATAGGTACCAGATTGCTAGTGTTTGGAGGAATTAGGCTTGTGATCAACCAGTCAGTTGTCCATGTGGAATTGGAGTCTTCACTCGAAGATCGGAGTCAGTTGTCCCTGTGGAATTAGAGTCTTCACCCGAAGATCGGAGTTGTCTTTCCGCTGTTTGCTATCTAAGGTTATATTCTTTATACTAAGTACGTTATATATTGAGCATTGTCTATTGATATTACCCTTATTTGTAGTTATATGTAATATTTGACTTTTTGGGCTCACATATGGTGTGTCTGGTTTTATTTTTAAAACCGGGTGCTACAAGCACGGGGGAGCGCCATGAGGTCGTGGGGGAAGATCACGAGTGTATTAATGAGGGGCATGAGGGGTCTTTTGGCTATTTAGTCTTTCTTAGTCACCCCAAAAGACTAATGGACTAATTGGTTTAGTCACCTATTATTTAGTCACTTTGTTTGAGTCTTTAGAGACTAAAATAAAAGGGTGGCTAAAGTTTAATCCAAACAGGCCCTAAGTCACAGGATCTAAGCATGTTTGTGTTAAAAGACAGTTGCACATGTTGTATTGTAACTTAACAAGGATGCACGCTATGCAAGAACCAACAGTAAGTAGTATATATTGTGAAGATAGATTGGATCACTAACCGTAGTCCGACGGATTGGCAACGATGTCAGACAACACGCTGTAAATGTCAATGTAAACCACCAGCACGCCGGCGAGGTCACCATTGAGCTTCGTCACGGTGTCCTGCAGCTCGGCATTGAACCTCATGGCCAACTGGTTGTACTCCTCGTTGCACTCGCCTGGCTCTCTGTGGTTCCGCGTCCTCGAGAGAGGTAAGCACCCGAACGGAGGGAGCCCGGAGAGCCCGAACTTGCGCGCGCCGAGGTGGTAGGCGTCACGGGCGGCCGCTTCAGCAAGGCTAACGAGGTAGCTGACGTACTCCGCCGGGGTATACTGGACGGGGCGGACAGGAAGGGTGAAGTAGTTAAGGATGAAGTCGTTGGTGCCGATGCTGAAGATGTACACGGCCTCAGCGATGATCTCCTTGGCCACGGACTCCCCCTTTGCGGCCTCCAGTCTCGCCTTGTACTCCTCGAAGTACTCCAGCTGCTGGCTCAGGGGTATAACTGACTGGAACAAATTTAACAGGTTCCAACAACCAAGTAAGTTGCAGAGTAGAAGGTTAATTTAGGTAAGTACTTCTGTAAATCTGTTTTGGAACAAGGTACTTGGTAATTGGTATTAACAGTAGAGTAAATTATATTCACCATATAACAACTTTATAGGCGGGTGCAGATTAGTCTAACGAATGCAACTAGTGAAGTGCTCAAGTAGGTATAATAACTTGACAAATTGGTGCACGTATGGTACAAACGTTGCTAGTAGTGTGATAAAATATATACTCACGTATTAGGCATAGTGTTAACAGCAGGTTTTTGGCACGTGCATTATATATACGCGTGGTGGAATTGCTTAAGATGATTTTGGCCAACTATAATATGGGCATCACGAAGCAGGTGCCACAGCGTCAATCACCTAAGGTATTTGCGATGGAGCCTAATCACCGAGAAGCTAGTGTCCCTCCTCTTGAATACAGTAGTGATTATTATTGTTGGACTTTACTCCTCTATTCTAATCATGCTAAGGTGGCTTTTCACCTGAGTATGATCGTTAGTTTACAACATGATTCTGGTTAACTAGTATTAATTCTTAAACTTGTAGGACTGGAACGCTGGCCTTTCTCTGTTTTTGTAGCAACAAAGTAGTTTATGAGTTGTTGACCAATTTACACCCCACCTGTCAAGTTCTTATATTGTGAGCTAATTTACTCTAACAATAATTTTCTTTTCTAAGCGATTGATTGAGTGACAAAATTCTGTTGGAAGTAATGATTTCAAAGTTCATATTTAAAAAAAATCAGTTGAGCTTGGATGGAGAAATGTGCTAAACAAAAGTTATAGTGCTCGAAAAATTCTAAAACTTTGAAGTTAAAATTTTTCAACTTCAGTTCATTTAGGGTCTCAAATATGCATTACAATATTCAATAAAATAAATACAAAAGAACTGTATCGATCACTTAGTCACAAGTGACTTTGAGTCATAGTGATAAAGAAGTAACAAGTGAGGCTAGATGTTATGGGTTAGCTTGACTCGGCTTGTTAAGGTACCGAGGTGAATGATCAATACATAAAATGAAGCACTAAAATGAAGCAATAAAATGAAGCACTAAAATGAAGCAATAAACCATAATTACAAAAGGAGTAGCAAGGGATGGAGATGGAGTATGTGAAGATGCGGCTCGACCTTGGACAATCCACACCGACAAGAAAGCGATTTTGCTCTTTGAGACTCCAATCTTGCCGCGGTGGGGGAGTTCGCTCCTACACCTCAACAACCTTGTCTTCCTACTCCATGGTGACTGGCAAGTGCGAATGGTGTTGGCGTGCAGTGTGCAACGTAGAAGCCACTGTGCACTGTAGCGCCAAACCTTGACTAGTGACAGGCAGTAGGGTGGACAGAGGAGTGGAGGGGTCAAGTCACTGGCTGTCGACGAACGACGATGGTGGGTGGATATATTCTTTTAATGGTGGATGGGGTTCACCGATTCATATTCATCATATAAGGTATTTGCTAAGTTTGAAAGCAACGGCGGATCCAAGAAAAAATTTAGAGGGCTGAACAAAAGTGCGACAATAACATGCCTCCGACTGCTGTTTGATCTTAAGTCTCAGCCCCACCTACACGATAGAACTTTGCCAAAAATTTCATGAGGCTCCAGGGCTCCGGTATCGGTAGGGGGGCTCGCCCCCCGACGGGCTTGCTAAGCCACTTTTGTGGCCATGGGCTCGTGAGAATTGCTGATAGGCTGGCTGCGAACGAGGGATTAAGAAGCTATCGTGCAACTAATATCAGCTCAGTTTGGCCCGCGAGCTGGTTTGTTAAAAATCGAGGTGAACTTCTAGCTTGTCTTGTGAAAAAAATAAAACAGGCTGAGCCGTAATACTAAGCTGGCCACGAGTTGAGCGAGCTCGTGAGCCACTATCTTGTCTGGCCCTAGTTAATTGGCCTGTTTCTCTCAAAAAATTTGCTTGTTTTTTTACCTGATTTACAAATTCTAAAAAAAACTACTGTAGAGACAACTGAATTTTGGACTACTTCTAAAAATCAATCTCTACATGCGACTAGATTTTGGCTCACCTCTAGAGTGCGATTTTTAAAGGTGGTTGATTTCTATAGAGAGACAGCCATCTGTATAAACCATCTACCCGTCTCTATAAACACATGTGTACATTACACCCATTTCACAATCCGGACTCCATAATCCATCTATGGTTTTGGTTGAATGAATAGATGGGATGACAAGATCATCGACTCACTCGTTCAAAATCATGCCTTGATTCACTCCAAAAACAGAGGGATACCCCGCAACGACGCAAATACTGTGAAATAAAGAAAAAACAAGGCATAGCAGAAGGTATAATAGTTTCCTTACTGTGAATTTTGCTGTTAAATCATCCAGCCCGGTGGCTCCGGAGGCAAAGGTGACGCCCTTAGCGAGCTGGTCGATCGTGGAGCTGGGGTCCAGGTAGGCCGGCAGAGTCGACGGCAGACCGAATGCCTGTGAAATGAAGTCTGTGACAAGGCGGCCGTTGGAGAACCTGCCGGTGGCGACGCCCCCGTTGAAGTCGCGCCCATATGGCGGGAAGTTGGCCCTCGCGATGGTGGGGATGAAGTTGTTGTTGCCCGTGTCCACCGTGGAGTCCCCGAACACAATGAACGCCGACACCTTGGCGGCGGTGGCCCTGCTGCTGGCCGAGCGAGAGAAATGCAGGAGTAGAAGCAGCAGCCAGAAGCATAGGCTGCTTTGAGACGACGTATTGCTGGTAGCCCTGTAGTGTGAGGCAAAGCGGAGATTAAGGGACACGCGCGCACGTGTCATGTGTATGTGAGAGAAATTTAATAGTGGTGCTGTTGCGGTGTTACCTCTATCGATCTCAACTCTGTCTTTTCAATCCCTGTACGTATACTTTGACCTGATTAGCAAGATAACGCCCCCGAGAGTGACAACTGAGATATTCTCTCTTCGTTCATATAATTTTGAGGCGTTTAACTAAACTTTTTTATTTTTCCATGAAATATCGCAACACATCGGGAAAAAACACCTAGCTGGAAATTTGTATTAGGAGATAAACTTTTAACTACTCCAAAACACACCTTTGACTATGATTTTCTACTATAACATATATGAACATTTAAAAAAAAGGACAGAGATAGGCTGTGACCGGTCGTGGGCTCGCAAGCTCCGGTGACGCACGATCCTCTCCCCTCCCCCCTTCCCCCCGCACCGCGTGCCTTCTTCCTCCCCACGCTCCCTTCCTCCCCACCCCCACCTCGTCCTCGCCACCCCCCGGCCGTGGCTGCCTTGCCACCGCCCGCACCCCTCCTCCGCCGCCCGATCCCACGCCATCGAGCACCCCGCGCTCGTCCTTGTCCTCGCCCCACCGTCGACCACCACGCTGGGATTTGCCGGAGCTCCGCGGCCGTGGCCATGACCATGGAGCTCCGACGAACCCTAGCGCGCCCACAGCGGCCACCTTCTGTCCCTCTCCCTCCCGTTGCGGCAAGCTCCGGCCGCGACACCCCCCGTCTCGACCTGGCCTAGCCGCCTCCACTGCCGCCATTGCCCCTAAAAGCCCGGCCACCGTCCCCGCCGCCTGGTTGGCCTGCCTCCTCCAAAACCTTCCTTCTAAGGCCACCGAAGTTGGGGAAGAAAGGCGGCACAACCGGTGAGCTCGTCGTCTCCGACGCTGGCGAACTCCTTGTCGGAACCCTAGCCTCCTCTTTCGTCTCCAGCGTGGGCACAGGCTCCTTCCTCTTCCTCTCCGTCAGGCGCGAGTGCGGGTGCATGGGTCACGCGGTCGTGCGAGCGCGACGCCGTCAATAAACTTTGCGTAAAAAAAAAATCTTAAATACTTTTAGTGAATATAAAGGAATACATTATATAAGTTGCGGTCTATCTAGAGTTAAAAGATTACGAGAGATCCTGTTGCTAAATTGTTGAAAACTGGAGCTATCTCGTAATCTAAGATTTATATATATCTTGCGTACCACATACTTCCACGCTTGTGCAATCACATTGCAAATAAATACTGAATGTGTTGGGCCAGGCAATTACTGCATCCAACCACTGATAAAGAAATGGAACGCAATATCCACATCATCTGCGGTGGCCGATGGAACTAAGTGATTTATGGTGTGAATGGGACAACATGACAAGTACATAAAGGTAGTGTTATATAAAAAAAGGTACATGAAGGTAGCGCTTTCACCATCGACGAGTAAATTTGTATTTGCATGTTTGGCTCGGATGGTGTGCTAGGAGGACATAAAGGTTTATACTGGTTCGGACGAAACGTCCATACGTCTAGTTTGCTGCTCCTCGTGTTACCGGCACTTGGTTTGCAGTAGGGGTTACAAACACGCGAGAGAGGAAAATAATCCCAAGTCTTTGATGAAAGGAGTGAATGAGTGCTGAGAGCTTGATCGCTGCTCAGCCATATGCTTGTGTCGTGCTCTTGTGCTTTTATTTCATGGTTCGGTCTCGTGCGGATCTGGATCCCCCTTCATGGGGTTGTCCTGCTTTCCCTTTTATAGGTGAAGGGAAAGCATGGGTTACAATGAAGGAAAAGAAGAAGAACGAGAGAGAGAAGACTTCCAGGATCGCCAGGTTTCTTCTTCATGCAGGTCCCGCCGATCCTGTAGATGTCAACAGGGACGGCTCCACATCGTGGTCCTGTTCGTCGCTGGCGCCATGCGCAGGCGTCATTTGATAGTCATGGCGTTCCATTTCATCCCAGCGGACGTCGTGGTGAACTGACGCACCTATCAACGTTCGTATGAGGGTTAGACAGAACAGCACCGGCACGCCCGACGCTGTTCTTGATGTGAACCCTCAGGTATGGCCCGTCATGGCCATGGGTTACATCGAGGCATGCCAGTATCTTCCCTGGTGTTAGAGTTTTGACACAGGCCCATACGCTTGGACTTGGAGTGGTTGGTGGCGGTATGGGTCCCCGTTGGACAAGACAGAGCCCGCGGCATTGGGCTCGGGCGAGACTGAGCATGAACCCAAGGGGTCAGGTGAGACGGAGCCCACGGCCTTGGGGTCGGGTGAGACAAAGCTCTCACCTGAGGGGTCGGGCGAGATGGAGCATGAACCCAAGGGGTCGGGCGAGACGGAAACCACGTCCTTGGGGTCAGGCGAGACGGAGCTCTCACCTGAGGGGTCAGGCGAGATGGAGCACGAACCGAAGGGGTCAGGCGAGACAAAGCCCGCGGCCTTGGGGTCTGGCGAGACGGACCCTGCGGCCTTGGGCGAGACCCCCATGGCCTCAAGGTCGGGCGAGACGGAAACCACGTCCTTGGGGTCGGGCGAGACGGAGCCCGTACCCAAGGGGTCGAGCGAGACGGATCACGAACCCAAGGGGTCAGACAAGACCTTTTAACATGTCTTGCTCCATCCAAGGAAGTCAGCATGGGCGTTAACTTCCTTGCTTTGGGTATCCCTAATATCAATACCCGACAGTAGCCCCCGAGCCTACGGAGGAGTAGAATACTCCTTTGGAGGCTTTTCCGGATGAGAGGACTCTGAGGGCCTTCGCCTTCTTTTTGTAGCTCACGACGTGTCCTGGTAGGACGGCGGTCCCCTCTTGTTGTGGTCAGTCTTCTTGGGGGCATGCAACCGTAAGATTCGGGAGGTTGAAAAGATTTTTCTTGATTTTGGTCCCCTAGGATCCGATCGGTCCGTCGTCGTACTACGACCGCGCGTTTGGTCTTCTTGTGAGTCCAACTTTCCTTGAGCCCCTACACACAGCAGGGGTCCGATCGAGGGTCGGCTCGTCTTTGTGATCGTCGTCCCTCAAGCGTTTATTCGATAAAACGGAGGGGTTGAGCCGTGCCACGTTTTTCCTCAACGAACGAAACATGATACTTGGTGAGCTGTTAACGGGCTAGTCCGAGTGGGGCCTAGCTTCCTGTTCATGGGGGTCCAGCATGGGTCAGCTGGTGATCGATTCCAGATTCTCAGTGGCCAATCCATATAGTTCTCGGGTCCGTTCGACCGGTCCCGAGGGCTCGTTGCCTTTCTTCGAGGAAAAACCATGGATTGGGAACTGACCAAGACTCGAACGTGGGCTGGGACGCCCGTGGCGCTCGTGAGCCCAGGTACTGGATGTTAATGGGCCCATCCCTTTCTACCCCTCACTCTAAGGGCGCCTTGGAGCAGCTGTGAACCCGTTGAAGCGCCAACCTTCGAACTCCTAGGCCCTAAAATGGGTCATAGGAGCGTATTCAGCTCTGTATCCCTCCTTATCTACGACGGTTCTCGGCCCATTGATCGGTTGAATGTCATCCGACATGTCCTTGGAGGGCACGGATAGAGATTGCGTGCGCACGATCTTTGGAGGGAGGTGACATGACACGGCGCAATGGGCGCGTAAATCTAGGCGGATGATTCGCCTTCTTGCCCTATTCCGCCTTATAAATAGTGGCCTCCCCCTTCATGTTTTTGCACATCAAAACTATAGCCTTACCTTCTTTGTTTCTCCGCCGCCACCGTTCGGATCTGTTGTGTTTGCTAGTCCACTGCCGCCTTTACTTCTCCATAGCCACCTCCATTCTCCATGGATTCGTGGCATCGCTCTGACATTACCTATGCGCGCATGGAGGGCCTCGTCAAGCGTGGTCTTCTCCACGGGAGGACCGATGCTGTGGAGTGGCTTGTGTCCGGCCATGAGGAGGCGCCAGCGCTGCCCGACAGCTATGTTGTCTCCTTGACACTCTTCCATGAGAGTGGACTCACGGTTCCCCCTCACCCATTCTTCTAGGGTCTGCTGCACCATTATCAGATTGAGCTACAACACTTGAACCCCAACGGGATCCAGTACATCGTGTCCTTCATCGCTATGTGCGAGGGGTACCTAGGGATCGAGCCCTACTTCAAGCTCTGGAGATATTTCTTCTTTATCTCCTTGATGAAGAAGGAGAGATGTCGGGAGACCCCAGTGCCAATGGGATGCGCAGGCATCCAGCATCGGGGCAGCGGGCGGCTAAGTACATGCCCTGCCAGCTTTCTAGATCCAACAAGGGGTGGCACTAGCATTGGTTCTACCTGAAGGACGACCCTACAGCACCCTTGCCTGTCTTCTCTAGGTGTCTGATCGAGGAGGTTCTGCCGTCATGGCCGTGGGGCCACCCATCAAGGAGAAGAAGAGGACGCGTGATCTCCTTATGGCCATCGCGTTCCTAAAGACCCACGGCCTTCGCGGGGCCGATGCGTCATCGGGGGTATCACGCGAGGAGGGTGGCGCCCCTGATGGCACGTGTCCTCCCGCTGTACGGGATGATGCTCGATGCTTAGCTTATCGGGACGACGCTCGCCCAGGGCCCCCTCCGTGATAACGAGGTTGCGCTATGCATCAAGGAGGCCACGGGGGAGGCCGACGCCATGTTCCCAACCCTAGGGCATCCTGTGATGCGGCCAGACGCGGGCTTCATCGAGCTGTCGGCGGGGTTAGTCTTTCGGGACTCTGTCACGCTGCTGCCAGAGCACGTGGCCATGAGGGCGGTGAACTGTTCCACAGATGAACAATGGAAGATGAAGAAGGACAACAAGGAGAAGAAACGGCGGTCGAAGCAGCGAGCGAAGCTATAGCGAGGGAAGCGGCGTCAAGGCTCGTTGGAAGAAGAGGAGGAAGAAGAAGAAGAGGAAGATGATGGCTCCATGTCACCCACCCCGTGGGATGATCTAGCCGCTGGGGATGAGGACCCACCTTCACCATAGGTGTGGCCCTTCCCATGGCATGTCGCAAGGCAGGAGGGGGAGGGCGCCCCCCAAAGCCAGCAGAAACGAACCACCCTGCCGCATCTGAACCTTCGATG